CAAATAAATCTTCATCAGGTTGATGCAATATTAATCAGGATTTCAATAAGAAATTAATGTTATATTATGGATGTTTTAAGGAGATTGAATTTATTCTAAAGCTTCAACCACCTTTTTATGATTGGATGCTATACAAAGCAATTTGCATGTTCCAATCACATTTATGTCAAGCATCGTAGTTTTTTCCTTCAATTTTTCACTCTCCGCTTTTCAATCGAAGCTCGCCAAATTAAATGAATTCGTTTGTGATTTTTATAGGGGAGAAAGAGAAAAAATCAATTTTTTTATCATGAAAAATTCTTCTCAGCACAATATTTTTCGTATCAAAATTCAAACCCAGTAGCTAGTCTGATTTATTCGAAAAGTTTTCTGATCTTTGAGCCTTTGCCTTATGAGTTCATTCCAAGTTGATATCGTAAAAGTGGAAAAAAATTATAAAGTGATTTGTCGAATATTTTTTATTTGTTAGAATTTCATTCGACAAAGTTTAGAGGAATAAAAATCAAAAAAAGAATTCAAAACAAAGAAAGAAACAATCAAGTTCTGATGTCATCTGCGAGAATGGGAGTTTCTTCTAATACATGTATCTAATATCAAGATTGAAATACTGGACGCAGACAGTTAAACGACATTTTAAGTATTGGATTTGTTGACGTAGACAGCTATGAACCATAAAGAAAGGTGAAGAAAAAGGCAAATCGACGACAACGACGACGCTTTTCTTTTTGTTTCGTAATGACTGTCATTAAGCAATCACCTATCAGTTTGCTTTTTTTCTTACTTCCATGAAGAAAAAAAAAGCTCCAAAAGCAGAAGAAGAATGATTAATCAGGAGCTATTTCTTATATTCTCCGGAAAGAAAATTCCATGCGCAACATAATAATTTCCCAGTTCGATATCTTTAACGTTTTTTAGAATAAAAACTTGAAGCATCTTGCTCGCCCCGAGTTATTCCGGATTTAGAAAACCTACAAATTATGTGATTAATGTTTCTAAATTCATCAGAGAATAAAATTTCGAAGGTTGTGGTAAAAGCGGTTTCGTCTTAAAATTAGTTTGATGAGCTCTATGAAATTCAAAATGTTGATGAAGTACAATTTATTTGTTCTCTTTTCTGCTGATTGATTTGACAAAACCACGACAATAAATTATTTCACATTATTCACCTTTAATAATGGAAGGAAAGCGAGTTCTAAACACCCAAAATACCATCAGAAAACATTAAACCAAAATTAAGAAAACGAGAACGCAGGAATTTGATTCAAAATGATTGCCGGAAGTTGATGTTTAAATACAGGCTTGGAATAGCTTTTATTGCAAGTCTATAAATACGGGAAGAGCGAGAGACTAAGGCTCAGAAAAATTATTGTCGAGTGACGGAATCTTGGCTTCATTGTTATAGGAACTCAAAAGGCCAGAAGTTATTTATGCCCGTAAGATTGTCAGCGCTACAGAGTGATGATAACACGATTTTTTTTAAAGTGCTCAAGCTTTTAGCAGTTTGTCATGTCATGAATTAAATGTTACCACCAAGTTTTTAAATTTCGCTTGAGGGAACTCTCAAAACATAAAAAAGCACTGAAAATAATCCACAAGTTTTCACTTCCGCTTAGTATCCAATTTTAGGAATGGCAATCCACAAATCTCAACAATGTAATGGAAAATGATTAATTGCTTCAGTACCTGAAGTAATATTTAAATATCTTTTTCTTTCATTTTAATGATTATAACTTTTTTTTTCCGGATAGAAATTTGCAAACACGTCTGAAATGAAAGCGTATCCGTAAAAAACTGAAGTCAGGTTGAGACAGTAGACAAGTTATCAACCAAATTCAACACTTATCATGATATTCCATTCTTACTATGTGGTGAATTAAATTTATGTTTGAGGATTCTATGAGAGAGCATGGAAAAGATTCAAGGAAATATGTTCAAAATTTCTCTTAAAAACTGACAGCATGAAGTTGCGCAAACTCGTGAGAGAACTCGTTTTTCTTCCCTTACGTTTTCATTCATGAAAATCCCAAACTCATTCATAGCAATAAGCGATAATAACAACTGTTTGCATAGCTCTGAGTGGAGATTAATAGCAGTGGAACGTTTTCGAGGGAAAAAGGAGCTTTTGTGTGTAGGCGAGAAAATGATACATCACAATAAATGTTACCATTGAACAAAGAAAATTTTTATGCTGATAATAGTAATAAAATGTGGAATGAAGTGATTGAAAGAATTTAGCTAAAGACAAGATTAGCAAGATGAAATGCAAATCTCAGCTGATTAGCAATAATTTTAATCAGAGCTGATGATTCTGATTCATGTAATCACTTCATGACTCCATTGTTCATTCTAATTCAATTTGAGTTAGTGAAGCATTCAGCAAAAATACTTGTAAATTCTCTCGAAGATTTAATTTTCCTTCACGCGAACTCCATAAATTTTATTGTAGATATTTGGATTTTCCACGATGTAGAATTTTCATCGGTGCAGAATGTAATAAGTCATTATTATGTTACGCAAAGTAAACAATAAAATTTTCATTCTGTTTATCAAATTGAAACGGTTTTATAAATGGCAAAATTTTCATTTACATTTTCATTAGGAAAATAAATCATTGAGCACCGAAAATCAAATTACAGTTAAACTTTGATTAACAGATATTTCAAGGGACACAAAAAAATATCTGTTAATCGAGGATATCTGCTTATCAAGGATTCGAGGGTGT